AATCGCCCATTCTCCCCGCCCACGCCTCGCTCTAGGCCTTTACCAATCTGAACACCGTGTCTGGGCAACTGATTGCAGCAAGGATCCCTGTTGGCATAGAGCCCAGCTCTTGGCTAATGGTTTTATGTTGGCTTGATTTCTCTGAGTAGTTTACTTAGGAACGTAACCCCGATGGGATTAGGGTAAAGGAAGTGAAACAGGAAAGAAGAGAGGGCCAGGACAAAGACCTGCCCTCCAGTCAGCTCTTGGGGTGGCTGACTGGTTACTTCACCTGTGGGATCTTCTAAGAGGTCTTGGGAAATATGTCTGAAAGGCATCTATCTGGTGACAGATGGGTATGCCTGTTCCTTTTCCCATGGGTTACAAGCTGGTCTATGGAGTCCCGGAAATACATATTTAAAAAAACGCGATAACATGAGTAATAACTTGATGCGGACTAGTGAAAAACTGGGGTCGATCCAAAGCCAAACATCCATCGAGAAGAAAATGGCCAGACCCGTTGTGGTTGATTATTACAGTGGGGAGCCACCTACCAACAGAAGGAGAAAACACTGTTACACGAGAGCTCTGGTGAGCCTTGCAGACATAATGTTAAATGAAAAAATCCAAACACCGGACCCATTTACGTGTGGCTCAGGGCCAGCCATGGTGACAGTGAGGAAAACGCTTGCAGCCGGAAGAGGAATACTGATGGAAGGGGGCCTGTTTGTTATTATTTTGTGTGAATCTGGCGATGGATCCAAAGGCCTCATGCATGCTAGAAGAGCTCTCTGCCATTGAACTGTATCCCCATCTCTGTTTTCAACGTTTACTTTAAAACAAGGTCTTACTAAGTTTTCCAGGCAGGCATTTAACTCATGCTAGCCTAGACCAGTCTTGAATTTGCAATCTTCATGTGTCAGCTTCCGGAGATGTTCCTTGCACACCATCTGTCCTTTCAGAGCACACAGAACTTGTGGAACCCTCGCAGCACCCCCCAGATGGCAGGAAGGGGTTTGTTTTTTAATGTATGTATACACATGCTCATGCACACACATGCACAGATTTGGAGGTCAGAGGACCATCTCAGGAGGCATCCTCAGGGACACTGTCTACTTCCTTTAAGACAGAGTCTCTCGTTGGCCTGGAGCTTACCAGTTAGGCTTGCCTGGCTGACCAGTCACTCCCAAGGATTCCTCTCTCTTTGTCTCCTCAGTTCTGGGGTAGCAAGCACACACCACCTCGCCTGACATTCTTCTGTGAGTTCTGGGGAGCAAACTTAAGCCCTCCTCATCTCAGAGAGAAGCATTCCACCCAATGAGCTCTCTCCCTAGTCATGCATGAAGATTTTTTTTTTTAAAAGTGAAGATATCGGGGGGGGGGGCGGCAATGTCTTATCCTAATTTATCTGGTTAAAACAGAGCCCGTTCAAAACCCAGGATCAGCACACTTTATTGCTACTCTGTCTGCTGTGGAGACAGACTGTCCATCCCGTAAGCATGGCAAAGCTCATAGCGGCTTTCCTGCTACTCTGTCTGCCATGGAGACAGACTGTCCATCCCGTGAACATGGCAAAGCTCATAGCGGCTTTCCTGCTACTCTGTCTGCCATGGAGACAGACTGTCCATCCCGTGAACATGGCAAAGCTCACAGCTGCTTTCACACTTTGCCCTTGCAGCCCAAAGCCCTGCACCCTTTGTCAAGTTTGGTATATAAACATTTCCTTCTGGCCATTCAGGGAGCTATTTACAACGAACACACAAGTGCACTTGCAACTAAAGTTTGTCCCTTTGTTAGGTGCTATGTAAGTTGCAACTCTGAGACCCAAGTTGGGAGGAGGAGGTAGCTACACAAGAAGCCAACCGTCTTAGCTGTGGCCTGTGGAATAAGAGTCAGCTTCATGTCTACACACAGACGGCGTTGCATTTCCAGGACATTTTTTGTGGTGTCAGTTAGGCCTTTGTCCCAAATCCCCCACAATATGCCCTGGTTTTGTGGGGGACAGAGGGTGGGAGAGCCGATCCTCAGTGGTGCTGATGGTTCCGGGTCCTCCCTGGTGTGCAGGCTGAGGGTCTCCCTGATGCCACTCTGACAGCTCATGTCAATCAAGTTGGATTGCTCTCTGTTCTACTTTCATTAAACAGAGAACGTTCACCTTCTCCACCATCCCAAGTCACGCTGGGCAAAAACTCCAAGTCTTTACGCTGTTCTCAACACAGCTGCCAAGGTTCCCACCACCTGGCTTTCTAAATCCTGAGATAGCGCCCATCACTGCACAGAACTCTCCAGGGACACCTTCCAGCTTGCTTGCCTGTCAGGTTAAAAGTGATGGGTGCCACTGTCTTAGACAAGGCTCCAGAGCGAGACCAAGTGGCCAAATGGAGTCATTTCAGTCTCCGGACCCTGGAACTACATTCTGACCTTAGAAATCAGAAGAGACCAATGGCCAGACTTTGAGAACAGGCGATGAATTTCTTTCATCTTACCAAACAACAACAAAAAGAGACTTGATATTAACCAGTCAGGAATTCATAGTCTAGTTCCCTGTTTGCACCTTACGGGGAAAGTATGCGTTCAAGTCACCAAGTCACTTTTTGTTTTGGTCTTTCCTTTTTCTTGCCCTGCTGGGGGTGACTCCATCCAGCCCCAGTCTTTCTGTTGGTGTTGTCTGTTCTGTATTCTTCTTTGTCAGCGCAGCTCACCGAAAGGAGTGTTCATTCTGTTTTATGGAATGAAGCTGCCAACGCTCTTGCAGTTTGTATTCTGATAGAGGAAAGCCTCAGATAGTCATGACATGCCTATTACCCATCCCGGCCATTCCACTGTCCCTACACTCATGTCTTTGAGTCCTGTGACTCCAGCCGCGGTGGCTCTTTGGAGCTCATAAACCTTTCTGCAGCTGTCCTTACCACCTTCTCACTTGTTATTTAGTATTACACACACACACACACACACACACACACACACACACACACACACACACCCCGCATACACCCATGTGACAAATCCACCTTTTCCCCCATGTTCCTCATTTACCCTCTCTTCAGGACCTAGCTCCCGAGGGCAGGCTCTGTCTGCTTTCCTCTATGATGGCTTCCTCACGAGCCGAGGCTGGCGTACAGAAGCTTGCGCTTGTTAACGCAGTGGCGCCTGCGCCTTGTGCCCACTCAGGGCGAGGGCTGACCTGGGCTGAGGAAAATGGTCCAAGGACTTTCTAGTGAAGTTTGTGACGGCCCTCGGAGCCACCAGCCGTCAGCCGAGGCTTGGAGCCGACCCCGAATACAGAAGAAGCTGGCCCGGATCTCAGGGTTTAGTTTGTTTCTCTTTCCGCCCCAGTGTGTAGAGGGGCTGAGCATTTCAGGCGAGAAGGAAATGGCCTGGGGAAATCCTTGTGGGGGTGAAAAGGGCACCTTGTCAGGGGATTAGCTCGGGGGTAGCGACCTACCTGCTCTTGGAATGAGGAAGCCCCTGGCCCAGCAGGGGTGCGGCAGGAGGGGTGCCCCCCCCTGCTGTGTTCCCTCCAGCTACTGGATGGAAGAGTTTCACACCTCACACCGGGTCATGGCTGTCTGGCAAGGTCTCCCAAAGTCCAGGTTCTTGCAGTGAGCCCCTCCTCTCTCCTCCTGTGGAGAGCTGAGTTTGGGTAGGCAGATGAAGAGGAGCCCTACAGAGTGTGTTCATGGGACTGGTCCCAGGCCCCCGATTCCAAGTGGCGGGTGGCTCCACACAGTCTCCAGCACCCTCTCCTGAAGAGGCTGATATACCCCACTTCCTCCTAGGCCACACAGCCAACCTCAGTATGGACTAAAGTTCTGGACGATAGTGTCACATGTCCAGCAGTGAATCCCAGATTACACCTCAGAACTCTCTTTGACTAAGGCCCAGAGTGGGCAAGCTACCTGTCTTAAGATCACACAGCTTCTTACCCACGATTAAAGGACAGAGCTGGAAACAGGCCAGATGTTTTAACACAGTTTTAAACTGTATCTTTCTTTCTAGTCCCGACTTTTGTGAGTCTGTGACCTCCATCATGTCTGCCCCATCATGGAACTACTTTCAACCAAAAGCACCTACTTAAAATCTCCAAGGAGCCCTTGAGGGGAGACACATGGGAAATATGATCTGTAACTCCACTCCGCTGTCCCTCAGTCATCTTCCTCACAATGGCACCCTCCACATCCTGGTACCTGAAGCCTGGCTGGGCATGTGGTCCCGGCTTTGACGTGGTGCCAAACTCCCAGGTTGTTGAAAATAGAAAGATATTAGAAGTGAGAGTCCTGGGCTGGAGAGATGGCTCAGAGGTTAAGAGCATTCCCTGCTCTTCCAAAGGTCCTGAGTTCAATTCCCAGCAACCACATGGTGGCTCACAGCCATCTGTAATGAGGTCTGGTGTCCTCTTCTGGCCTCCACACATACATACACACAGATAGACTATTGTATACATAATAAATAAATAAAAGAAGTGAGAGTCCTGCTCCTATACTGGAACACTGTCCCCTGGAGACCCCAGGAACACGCACATCTGCTGGTGGGGGAGGGGTGCTCCCACTTACATCCTGAGCATCTGAGATGTATGTATTTTCTATGAGCACCAGCAATGTACAGGCGACATTCTGTAAGAACTTTAATGGCCTCCTGCGTCAGAGAGCATATCCACTTCACAGATCAGAGTTGAGGCTCAGAAAGGTTGTCTCATTTGCCTCTGATCCTTAGAACTAAGAAAATCTAGGCTCAGCAGAGAAACTTGGGTCCTGTTCATGAAGCCCAGAGCCCAGGTATGGGTAAGTGGAGTAAACACCATCTCTCCCACGCCCTTCCCAGTTGCAGGGGAGGCTAACGGAATGGAAATGATGCTGTATCTTCAAATCAGAGAGGCAAGGCTGCCAGGCAAGGGGGGCGGGGGTGGGGGTAGGAGGGCAAGCCTGGGTCAGCCCTTGCTGCAGGTCTGTGTTCACCTGGCTGCATCCTGGAACCTGCCCAGTTACACCTGGGCAGGCGGCTGCCCCTCCTCCCTGGGTTGAGGAAGCAGGAAAAAGTGGTGCAGAGAGGCAGTGGGCAGGTCTGCCAGGCAGCGGTGGTCAGTGCCCGGCAAGATGGGCTCTCTCTGGGACTTAGCTGTGCCTCTCCTTCTCCTCTGCTGGAAGGCTGGAGTCGCTGCCAGCTCTGCAGGTAAGGGACAGGAGGGACCCAGGGCTCCTCCCGACAGGGCTCTGGGTGTGAGTTTTGGCAAAGCCAGCCCTTTGTGGGCAAGGGTAGGCATCTTTGTTAATTTGCAATTAACAACCTGCTGGGTGTAAAATATGATGACTGTGGACGAGTGTGCAGGACGGCAGATGTGTCAGCTGGGCGTGGTGACTCCGGCTACCCCTGTAAGAGAGTGTGGGAGTTAGTCTTCAGGCATGGGACAGTGGGCTGGGAGGGTAGAGGGGGCAGGGAGATGCCAACTGGTGATCATTTCGCTGTGAACTGAGAAACATGGCCCAGCAAAGCTCCCGTTCATCCAAGTCTGTTGCCAACACAATTACTCTTTGAAATTTGCATTTGGAATGAAAAGTCTGTCACAAACCGCTCAGACAGGGAGGTTCTGAGAGAGGCGGCCTTTTCTGGAAGATAGGAGCTAAGGCCAGTCTGCCACTGACAGGCACTGTGCCAAACCCATCACTCACACAATGGAAAATAGATGGTTTTAGGTTCACACAAAGCCGAGCAGAAGGTCCTGAGGCATCGCCTCTGTCCTGTCCCTACCACAGACGGTCCTGTCAGCCATGCCCCACAGCATCAGCGTTGTCAGAGTGATGGCCCCACACGGGCACCCCACACTAGACAGTACCTTTTAACTCTACTTATTTCTTTATTGACCGAGTCTCCCTAGGCAGGGCCCTGGCTGCCTGCAACTTGCTATACAGACTTTATTTTTGTGTGTATTTATTTCTTTTCCCAATTTTCCATTTTCTTTGTGTGTGAGAGTGTTTTTACATATGTGTGGACTCACATGTGTATGGCTGTGTGTGNTTGCTCCTGTTGGTCACATGACTTTATTTTGTTTGGTTCACTGGCTGCCTGAGGATTGGAGGAATCTTTGAGTTTGCTCATTGCTTTTGTGTGAAGGATATACATTGTGTATGTGTGTGTGTGAAAGAAAGAGGGGGAAGAGAGAGAGAGCATGAGAGAGAGAGATAGGAGAGGGAGAGAGAGAGAGAGAGAGAGAGAGAGAGAGAGAGAGAGAGAGAGAGTCTATGAAGACCTGACACATATGTGGAGGTCAGATGACCAGATGACAGTTTGGGGATTAAGCTCAGGTCATCAAGCTTGGTGGCAAGCACCTTTACCCACATGAGCTATCTGACTGGTCCAACATTACGTTTTAAATTCTCATAACTTTAAGGACAGGCACTCATCTCTAAGACCAGCACTGCCACCTTAAGGGCGAGGAGCCTGCAGTTTACAGAGAGTAATTGGTCCCCAGAGCCAGCTTGTGCTGCCAGTGCCTAACCACTGGCCCACCCTGCCTGTCACGCACACTCACAACTGACGGCGTGTGCTGCGCTTTTCATCCTGCTTAACTGCAACCGTGCAACCCCACGAACCAGGTCCCTCGCTCCATCCGGAGCCCAGAGGCTTGGCTTGTGTCACAGAGTCACACAGCAGAACAAGGAGCAGAGATGGGACTCAAAGCTGGCTCTGTGCCCAGACTTGCCTCACCTCCAGTTTGGAGGAATTCAACAACATCCTATGACCCGGTGGGTTCCGTGGACCAGGAGGCTCCGAGTAAGAGCTTGGACGGGAGTGGGGGAGGTCTGTGGAAATGGCGATCAGCAACTCCTGCAGACGTGGGTGTGAGGGTGTGGTTGGGCACAGGGAGGATAGGTGTGTTCATGTGCCCACCTGATCTCTCTCTGTACCCAAGTGAGCTGTCCTGGGCTCCCTGACTGCTCGCTTTCCTAGGACACTTTACATTCAGGCGGGGGCTCTCTCCCTTCTCCTACCCGTTACCTCTAAAGATGAGACCGCAGGTCGTTCTTGAATTTTAAGGAAATACTTCAACAGGAAAATAGTTTGGGGGTGAGCAAACTACCCATCAGGGAATGACAAAGTTCTTCAGAACGTCCTGAAAGTCCTCCTTCCTGCTCTGCAGTTCTTGGCTCATGTGGGTTTGTGTCTCCTTTGCCCACCCTTGATGGCACAAGACTGCCACACTGCCCTGCATCCCAGTGATCAGCAGGGACCCTGGGGCTGCCTGGACTTCAGAGGGTACTAGTCAGGGCAGCTGTCTTCAGAGCCGCCATGGAGGCCATGACTTCTCCGTGTTGCTTTCTTCGTCTTTGTTTATATAGACAATGTACCACCCGGCAGCACCCAGGGCATAGACACAAACATCCGTGTGAAGTCAGCCTATCGGGACTCACCAAGTTCTTCCCTCCCGACACAGGCATGAGCATGGGCAGTTCTGCTCCTGTGGTGACAGTGAACAACACGGAAGTGCCTGCCTTCACTCAGAGGGACAGGCGCAGTTCAGCGGGGGCTTTCCAGACCACTGACCTTACTCAGTATGTTCCTCTAGACGCTCAAACTCTGAGCGCTGAAACTGCTTCTAACACCTTAGCTGCAACCAGTACCTGTTCAGAGGTCAATTCTGACACCCAGACCATCTCTCCTGCAACAGAAACAGGGAAGACACAGACCACCTGTCCTGCAGCATCAGCCCTGGATATTCAGATCACCTCCACTACAGCGTCAGCTCTGGAGACCCAGACCTCTTCCCTTGCAGTGTTTAGCGTAGATACTCAGGCCTCCTCTCCTGCAGCATCATCGCTGGACACCCAGACCACTTCTGCAGCAACCCTGGACACACAGACCACTTCCGCACCATCATCCCTGGACACTCAGACCACTTCTGCACTGTTATCCCTGGACACTCAGACCATTTCTACACCATCATCCCTGGATACTCAGACCACTTCTGCACCGTCATCCCTGGACACACAGACCACTTCTGCACAGTCATCCCTGGACACTCAGACCATTTCTGCACAGTCATCCCTGGACACTCAGACCACTTCTGCAACATCCCTGGACACACAGACCACTTCTGCAGCAACCCTGGACACACAGATCACTTCTGCAGCATCATCCTTGGACACACAGACCACTTCTGCAGCATCAACCCTGGACACCCAGATCACTTCTGTAGCATCAACCCTGGACACCCAGACCACTTTTTCAGCATCATCCCTGGACACCCAGACCACTTCTGCAGCATCATCCCTGGACATCCAGACCACTTCTGCACCGTCATCCCTGGACACACAGACCACTTCTGCACCGTCATCCCTGGACACACAAATCACTTCTGCAGCATCATCCCTGGACATCCAGACCACTTCTGCACCGTCATCCCTGGACACACAGACCACTTCTGCACCGTCATCCCTGGACACACAAATCACTTCTGCAGCATCATCCCTGGACACACAGACCACTTCTGTACCGTCATCCCTGGACACACAAATCACTTCTGCAGCATCATCCTTGGACACACAGACCACTTCTGCAGCATCAACCATGGGCACCCAGACCACTTTCCTTGATGCATTATTCCTGGACACCCAGACCACTTCTGTAGCATCAACCCTGGACACCCAGATCACTTCTGCAGCATCAACCCTGGACACCCAGACCACTTCTGTAGCATCAACCCTGGACACCCAGACCACTTTTTCAGCATCGTCCCTGGACACCCAGACCACTTCTGCACTTTCATCCCTGGACACACAGATCACTTCTGCAGCATCATCCTTGGACACACAGACCACTTCTGCAGCATCAACCCTGGACACCCAGATCACTTCTGTAGCATCAACCCTGGACAAACAGACCACTTTCCTTGATGCATTATCCCTGGACACACAGACCACTTTTTCAGCATTGTCCCTGGACACCCAGATCACTTCTGCACCGTCATCCCTAGACACCCAGACCACTTTCCTTGGTGCAGCATCCCTGAACACCCAGACCTCTTTCCCCACAACAGGCACCTTAGAGAACCAGACTATTTCCCCCGTAACAGAGACCAGAACTCTTGCAATAAAAATGCCTTCCAATTTCATGGTTGTGCACCCCAACCCTACAGATACTTCAGCTACAAGTGGCAGTCCCAAAGTAGAAATGAGCACTGTCAAGACAGGCACAGTGAGTGACCCCGTAGACTCTATCTTTGACACCTTTTATACGGATGACAGCTCTGAAGAAGCTAGGAAGACCACAGTTGACCTCTTGACCTTGGCTTACACGTCCACAGAAGCTGAACACCTGTCCTCAGAGAGCACCCCCACCTTGGACAACTCAGCTAGGGTCCTCACCAGCCCACAGGTCCTGGGACCCGACACTGCACCTCCAGCCAAGGACTTGGTTGCCGTCAGCATCACAGAAACAGAAACACCTGCCATCATCCCTGGGACCTCTGACACAAACCACAGCCCTACAGGGGCCTTGTCCACTTCTGAGACGCTAACTTCGCCTCAATCCCCTGGGGCAAATCCACTTAGCCCCAAGACCACAAGCTCATTTGGGACTCTGTTGACAACTGGTACCTCAGCTCTTGCCATCACCCCGGAGGGCACACTTCCTACTAGTGACGTCACAGAGAGAGAAACAACAGCGGCTCAGACTCCTGCCTCTGGTGGGACTTTGGTGACCGTTAGTACAAGTCCACTGAAAGAAACCTCAGCACTCTCTCTTGAGACGCAAAGCCACACTGAGGTCTTGGGAGCAATTACAGTTCCCAGGGCTGCTGGAACAACAATGGCAGAAACAATATCCTTCTCTGGTTCAACTTCAGACAGCAGCCCCTCAGCAGGGGCCACCACAGAGACTTTAACCACAGATGACAGAACCAGCAGCTCCTCCCTCGCAGGTAGTAGCCCTCTTCCTTCTGTCTATTCAAGTACAGCCAGCGCCAGCAAAAACCCAAACATCACCTTAGCCAAGACCACAGCCTCACCAGAGACCCCAGGGATGCCCTTACCATCTACACCCACTACTTCTTGGACAAGGACAAGAACCCCAAAACACGATCCAGGTAAGTGAAACCCCCATGTGTGGTCTTTGCGGATTTAGGTTTGGAGTATTTTTTGGTGGAGGTTAGGGGCAGTTTCGAGATAGGTTTTTCCTGTAGCTTTGGAGCCTGTCCCTGAACTTGTAGACCAGGCTGGTCTCGAACTCACAGAGATCCTCCTGTCTCTACCTCCTGAGTGCTGGGATTAAAGGTTTGTGCCACCGCTGCTCTGCTAGGTTTGAAGGTTTTTTTTTCTTTTTCTTTTTTTTTTGTTTGTTTTTGTTTTTAGAAACAAGGTTTCTCTGTAGCTTTGGCGTCTGTCCTGGAACTAGCTCTTGTAGACCAGGATGGTCTCAAACTCACAGAGATCTGCCTGCCTCTGTCTCCCAAGTGCTGGAATTAAAGGTGTGTGCCACCACCACCTGGCTGGTTTGGAGTATTCTTAAGGAGTTGAGAGGAAGGAAGGGATTCAAGGCCGATGTTGCAAACTCTCCCTGACATTTTGTGATTTCCTTTGTAGGTTGATAATAGGCAGTTACGATGTGTATGTCATGTAGTGATGTGTATGTGATATGTTCATGTGTATGTGATGTGGTCATGTGTATGTGATAAGTGTGAAACAGGTTTTCGAGGAGTGGTTGAGATCTTGGTTGTTTTAAACTGAGAGACAGGACCTGTCCCCATCCTCAGAGCCTAGGTTTCTTCCCCCTGGCTGGGAGGACAGGCAGCACTGCACTGGACGGACAGCATCTTTCCCAGATCTGACCTTTACAGCATCAACTCTTGTGCAACTGCTATGCTTCAGGGGAAATTGGAAATGTTTTTTAAACACTTGGCCCTTAAGTCAGTCGTGCCCACACAGAAGGGAGGAATGTGGACAAGCAACTTGTCCAAATCGCTGCCACGTGAGCATGCAGAGGGCACAAAAGTGGGTCTCGGTGGCCATGTTTGCTGTGCTCTATCATAAAGAGCGACTTTCGGCAACCAATGAAACAGCATTTGGGGAGCTTGACTCTTAACTTCTGAAATGGCAGAAACTTCTCTGAGGAGCCCCCAGACGTCAGCTCTGTGGGAAGAAGAGCTTATGGGCGTCCAGAGTAAGCATCTGCCCCTGCTGGTAGTGTTGTCCTTGTGGTTCATTCCTGAGTGTCTTTGCCTCGTCCCAGCTTTCTGAGCAAGGGACATAAGATACTAATCACGAGTTGAGAACATAGCTCAGTGATGGAGCACGTGTCACTGGTGAGCATGCCTGAGACCCTACATTGACCCCAAGCCCTGAAAAATCTCCACCTCTATCATCTGTACCTCTCTGTGTCTCTCTGTCTCCATCACCTCTGTGTGTCCACCTCAGCATTGATCTCTATCACCTGTCTCTACCGTCCTCTCTCTCTTTCATACCCATCTCTACCAGCGTCATTTGCTCTTGATCTCTATCCCTATTATCTCATCTCTTTATCGTCTCTGTCAGCTCTATCTCTGTCATACATCTTCAGGCATGATAGCACAGGCCCTGCAACCCAGTACTCTGGAGGTAGAAGCCGGACTGTGAGTTTGAAGCCAACTTGATCTACATAGTAAGACCCTATCGGAAAACCAGAATCAGCCCAAAACAAAAATTAAAACAGAGAAATATTTAACCACAACCATGTTATTGAATATCTTTTATATTCTGGACAGAAAATAATGTAAAAATTCCTCACAGTCAGTAGGCAGAACCCCAAAATGAGTTTGCCAGATGCTCTAGTGTTCTGTCTATTGCTGTGTGAACACCATGACTAAAAGGAACTTGGGGAGATGACTTATTGGACCACAGGCCAGTCTGATGGAGGCAATTCCTTGTAGATAGATGGGAGCTGCGGGCTGCGTTCCTGCCACCTGGCTAGCTTATGTCCCGAAATAACAACACACAAACTGTATTCATTTAAACACTGCCTGGCCCGTTTTATTTAGCCTCTTCTTGGCTAACTCTCATATCTTGACTAACCCATTTCTAATAATCTGTGTAGTGCCACACCACAAAGTGGTGGCTTACCAGGAAAGGATTCTATTGTACATCCATCTTGGGCTGGGGCTTCATCGCATCTGGCTCAGAGAGGAAAGGCATGGTGATTGCCTCACTTCCTCCCAGCATTCTGTTCTATTTACTCTGCCTACCTAATTTTCTGTCCTATCAAGGGCCAAGGCAGTTTCTTTATTAACCAATGAAATCAACTCAAAACAGAAGACCCTCCTACATCAATTCCTAAGTGGGATTCCCTCCTCCCAGCTGTGTGTAGACCTGTGTCAAGTTGACAAAGCTACTATAGCACCAGAGGAAGACGACTGAACACAGTTGTCATGGGTGCAGGCCACCAATAGGATGGTGGCTGTCATGAGCTCCATAAATGTGCAAGAGAAATCTTGAGTAGCTAGCTGCAGACACTCTGTTAAAGAAATGCCTAGGAATTACAGGCTAGTTCACACTGGTGAGTTTGAACTCAGTTCTGCCTAGGAATTGCAGGCTAGTTCACACTGGCAAGTTTGAATTCAGTTCTGCCTAGGAATTGCAGGCTAGTTCACACTGCGAGTTTGAACTCAGTCCTGCCTAGGAATTGCAGGCTAGTTCACACTGTGAGTTTGAACTCAGTCCTGCCTAGGAATTGCAGGCTAGTTCACACTGCGAGTTTGAACTCAGTCCTGCCTAGGAATTGCAGGCTAGTTCACACTGCGAGTTTGAACTCAGTCCTGCCTAGGAATTGCAGGCTAGTTCACACTGTGAGTTTGAACTCAGTCCTGCCTAGGAATTGCAGGCTAGTTCACACTGCGAGTTTGAACTCAGTCCTGCCTAGGAATTGCAGGCTAGTTCACACTGTGAGTTTGAACTCAGTCCTGCCTAGGAATTGCAGGCTAGTTCACACTGGCGAGTTTGAACTCAGTCCTGCCTAGGAATTGCAGGCTAGTTCACACTGTGAGTTTGAACTCAGTCCTGCCTAGGAATTGCAGGCTAGTTCACACTGCGAGTTTGAACTCAGTCCTGCCTAGGAATTGCAGGCTAGTTCACACTGTGAGTTTGAACTCAGTCCTGCCTAGGAATTGCAGGCTAGTTCACACTGGCGAGTTTGAACTCAGTCCTGCCTAGGAATTGCAGGCTAGTTCACACTGTGAGTTTGAACTCAGTCCTGCCTAGGAATTGCAGGCTAGTTCACACTGTGAGTTTGAACTCAGTCCTGCCTAGGAATTGCAGGCTAGTTCACACTGGCGAGTTTGAACTCAGTCCTGCCTAGGAATTGCAGGCTAGTTCACACTGTGAGTTTGAACTCAGTCCTGCCTAGGAATTGCAGGCTAGTTCACACTGTGAGTTTGAACTCAGTCCTGCCTAGGAATTGCAGGCTAGTTCACACTGGCGAGTTTGAACTCAGTCCTGCCTAGGAATTGCAGGCTAGTTCACACTGTGAGTTTGAACTCAGTCCTGCCTAGGAATTGCAGGCTAGTTCACACTGTGAGTTTGAACTCAGTCCTGCCTAGGAATTGCAGGCTAGTTCACACTGGCGAGTTTGAACTCAGTCCTGCCTAGGAATTGCAGGCTAGTTCACACTGTGAGTTTGAACTCAGTCCTGCCTAGGAATTGCAGGCTAGTTCACACTGTGAGTTTGAACTCAGTCCTGCCTAGGAATTGCAGGCTAGTTCACACTGGCGAGTTTGAACTCAGTCCTGCCTAGGAATTGCAGTGTAGTTTGCACTGTGAGTTTGAATTCAATTCTGCCCAGTGCTAGCTTCAGGATCCATTTTCAGAGCATTTTCTCAGTCTGGTTGTAAAGAACATCTGGACCAGGCAGTGTTACCACAGAAGACCAGCTTTTTCCTTTTTGTGGGTTCATACCCATAGTTAGTTCCAAAACTTGACTCAGTGGGCTTCTCCTTGGAGGCTGATGGCATGTTTTCCATTCTGAGAGCCGAAGGCAAAGTCACACACATGGGGTGGTCCCCAGGTGAAGTCACACTCGCGGGGTGGCCCCCAAGTAAAGTCACACATGTGGACTGGTCCCCGGGGGGAAGTCACATACATGAAGTGGTCCCCAGATGAAGTCACACATGTATGATGTGGGATTCCCCTCTGTATGCTGTGAATACCATTGGTTAATAGAGAAACTGTTTTGGGCTGGCACAGAGCAGAATAGAGAGAGGTAGGCAGGGAAAACTAAACAGAATGCTGGAAGAAAGGAGGAGGAGACAGAGAGAAGCCATGGAGCTGCCACCAGAGACAGATGTGCTGGAACTTTGCTAGTAAGCCACTGCCACATGGAGATACACAGATTAATAGAAATGGGTTAAATTAATATGTAAGAGCTAGTCAATAAGAAGCCAGAGCTAATAGGCCAAGCAGTGATTTAATTAATACAGTTTCTGTGTGATTATTTAGGGAGTCTAGGTGACCAGGAAAAGAACAAGCAGCCTCCTACTACATACGTGGGGTGGTCCCCAGGTGAAGTCACACACATGGGGTGGTCCCCAGGTTCTAGGCACAAGTCCTCTTGCTGTTCCCACTCCCACGGAGCACTCTGTTAACAAAACTAGTCTGTCTGCATGGAGGATGAACCACAGATGGGTGTGTCTCACAAAGAGGGCCTTGCAGTGGAGAGGAATCCCTTTCTAAGTTTCTTTCTCTCTCTCCTTCTGTCTGTCTGTCTGTCTGTCTGCCTCCTCCAACTCCTCCTCCATATCATTATTATTATCATGTATGTATATGTGAGTGTGTGTGAAGGTGTGTGTATGAGTGTATGTATGTATGAGTGTGTGTGAGGATGGTGTGTGTATGAGTGAGTGTATGTGTGTATGTATGAGTGTGTGAAGGTGTGTGTATGAGTGAGTGTATGTGTGTATGTATGAGTGTGTGTGTGAAGGTGTGTGTATGAGTGAGTGTATGAGTGTGTGTGAGTGTATGTGAAGGTGTGTGTATGAGTGTATGTATGTATGAGAGTGTGTGTGTGTGTGAGGATGGTGTGTGTATGAGTGAGTGTATGTGTGTATGTGAGTGTATGTGAAGGTGTATGTGAAGGTGTATGTATGAATGTGTGTATGTATGAGTGTGTGTGTGAGTGTGTGCATGTATGTGGTGGGAACAGGTATTCATGTGCCATTTGCTCATCAGGAACCATTTCTCTTCTTCCACCCTTACGTGGGTTCCAGGAACCGTACTCAGGTTACCAGGCTTACTCAGCAAGCCCCTTGACCCATTGAACGACCTCAAAAACTCAGAAAAGAGTTCTGAGCACACATCCCGAGGAAATTTACCCTGCCTGAATTCCAAATCCACAAGCTCTCAGATCATTCATTTCCTTGGTCTAACCATCAGGCACAAAATCAGTCAGTGCCAGATAAGGTCTAGGGAAAGTTAGTTATCTGGAGCAACAGTGACACCAGAGGCAGCTGGGACTAACTGGGATTTTCTGGCCAGGACTGGCATGCTATCACAAGTTTTTTTTTTTCTCAAGAAACATAAAGTAAGGTTTATTTCTATTTGCCCCAGATAGCGAGAGCTTTCATAGATTCTATGTAGTCCAGCCTAGTAAAACAACATACTCCTTGGTGTTACCTATGGGAGCCTGGATGGCTCAGAGGCAGTCAGGTCACCAGAGAATCCCACCTCTTATGTAATCTTGGGGAGGGGCCCGGCCTGGTGAGCCTTCCTGAGCCTTGAAAGGAGGAATGCTCATAGACCTGATTTGAAAAGGGTCTTCTATAGGTGGTCACAGCAGCTGCGGTCTAAGACATCTGTTATCATACCTAACCCAGAGGAATCAGACGCTGTGGGCAAAAAGTTGGGAGGCCCACCAACCTTTGTTTCTACCACTGCAAAAGGCTAATGACTTGGGACAAGAAAAAAAGATTCATCTGGAATCTGAAGGGCTTCTTAAGGAGGGGAGGAAAGAGCAGGGTGTAATAAAAAAAGACAGGATTCCAGAGACTTCTAGAAGCTAAGCCAGTGGCCTGTTGCCTTGGTCATTCTCATATGAGATGAAGTTAAGAGAAATCAACTTTGTATTATAGTTCCATATGAAACAGTTCTCAGTGGTTAATATCAACAATTTAAAGTTGAATAGAAATCTGACCTAAAGATTAAGGTGGCAAAAGAGACAGATAGACATAGTGTAGAGGCAGAGACGTCAAGCCTTTTCACCTTGCTTTAGCAGCTCACCAGACATCTGCAGATGCTTTTAGCAAAAGTGACTTCAGAGCCTGGGAAGGCAGCACACTTGCCTGGTGTCGTGAAACCCGAGTTGGAGGACTTGTCTGCAGTGGGTTAGCAAGGGACCCAGGCTATGCTTCTCTGCTTCATGATCTCCAAAATCGGTGACTTTCACAGTCAACTGAAGTAAAGGAAGTTCTGTGAGTTCGAGGCCAGCCTGGTCTACAAGAGCTAGTTCCAGGACAGGCTCCAAAACCACAGAGAAACCCTGTCTCGAAAAAACAAAAAACAACAACAACAACAACAAAAAATGAAGTAAAGGAAGTTAGGGTTTATTTCCCAGCACTCCAGAGGTAAAGGGATCTCTGTGCGTTCGAGGCCAGCCTAGTCTACAAAGAGAGTTCCAGGAAAGCCAGGGCTATGACACAGAGAAACTCTGTCTCAAAAATATAAAAACGAAACAACAAACGAAAGACAAGCAGGAGTCTAGACTCTTGGAGAGGAATGGACTTTTTTCACCATCTTTTCTCTATCCTCAACTTTCAGGTGAAGATGGCGGCTTCCTCCTTGTACGGGTGAGTGTGGCCTCCCCTGAGGACCTCACTGAGCCCAAAGCCGCAGAGAAGCTGATGCACCAGGTAAGCGAGGCATCAGGCAAAGTGAGGGGCTCTCGGGGACCCCAGGGACCATTCTTCATGGTCTTTCTCCAGACATAAGGAAGGGAGATATTACAGAGGAATACATGAACACAAACATGCTACTGCTCAGCCTACCTTTGTAATAGCCCTAGCTGTCCTGGTACTCACTCTGTAGACCAAGCTGGCCTCAGACTCACAGAGATCCGCCTGTCTCTGACTCCCGAGTGCTGGGATCAAAGGCGTGCATCACCGCCCAGTCTTTCTCCACTCTTATACAGTCCAGCACCCCAGCCAAGGGAACGGTGCCGCCAATAGTGGGCTAGGTCTTACCATATTAAGTAACTTTATACAACAATCTCCCTTAGTCAGGCCAAACTGATCCAGACAATGCTTCATCAAGACTCTTCCAGGTGAGTCTAGAGTGCATCAGGTTGACAAAACTAACATCACAGCCACCACGACTGACATCCGAGTAAACATCACATGTGTGGGAGAGGGTATGAAGTAGGGATGCTAGATACAGATGAACCCCTCAGAGATGCTCCAGGCAGGGAGGAAGATGGTGGTGTGTTTGTATACCAATCTGGAGAAATTCTCTTAAGTAAAGTTCTGGGGTCAAGGCTTTTGGGGGTACTGTGAAGGAGTGGAAGATTAATATAAAGGCCATAGGCCTAGCTCAGTGCAGGCCTCATGAAGTGGCCAAGTTCTACCCTATTGAGAACAGTGAGAACAGAGCTGGTGTGCCCCCTAATACAGACTGCCCCTTCCCCCTCTTCCACCAATGTCTCAGCCTTGCAGACTGCACCCTTCACAGTCAATGAGAACTACAGCAGGTCAGGCTCCATGTTACCTCTTGAAAGAACAGACCGGAAAGAGAGGCTGACAGGCAGCCTTATGCCAGGGCTAAAATCCTACAGCCAGGATGTATAGGTGAGGTGGTCCATTAGCAGACAGTAGTGGGTGGTAGGATCCCTCAATAAAGGCAGAAGAGACCTGACATCCGTCACTATCTGGCCTTGTCTGGCTTTTTAAATTTTTTCCTATTCCCTTTTCATATTGTAAATACATCCCCATCCCCACATCTAATTTTTTTTATCTTATTTTATGTGTATGGATATTTTGCCTGCTCGTACGTCTGTGTACCACATCCATGCCTGGTGTCGGTGGAGGCCATTAGAGGGTATCAAATCCCCTGGAACTGGAGTTACAGATGGTTGTGAGCCACCATGTGGATGCTGGGAACCAAACACAAGTCCTCTGCAAGAGCAGCCAGTCCTTTTAACCACTGAGCCATCTCTTCAGCCACAGATCTGATTTGTTTCAGATCCTAGATGTCCAGGCTTCCAAGAAGTTAAGTGACATTGATGGGGTTTGTGTGTGTGGGGGAGGAACAAAGCTCTTGGGTGCAAATGAGGGGAAAGAGGACCCCAGATGCACGGAAGCAAAGGAACGACAGAAAAGCAGCTTTGAAAAAGCATGCGACTGGGCGGTGGTGGCGCACGCCTTTAATTCCAGCACTCTGGAGGCAGAGGCAGGCGGATCTCTGTGGGTTCAAGGCCAGCCTGGTCTACAAGAGCTAGTTCCAGGACAACAGGTGCCAAAGCTACAGAGAAATCCTGTCTTGAAAAACCAAAACAAACAAACAAACAAACAAAAAAACAAAACAAAAAAGCTTGAGAACATGCTCCCTGGGACACTGTCCTCTTCTGGTCAGTGGGCAACACACTCCATGTCCTGCCCCACAGGTTCCCACTGACACTTTGCCTTTGGGTTGCTTGTTACAGGGTCAAAGTCTTGAGCAGGAGCATCCGACTGGCTCAGGCTGGCTCTTGTATTCCCCAATCACTGCCCTGGGATATTAGGAGGGACTGAATATCGGGCCTTTAAATTCTCTTAGTAGCAAGGAAGCCCACTGGGACTGCCCTCATGAGGACTTCTGTCCACAAGGTGTCCAAGTTTGACACAGGACAGACAAACAGATGACAGATGTCTCTGTCATGAGCATCAAAGCAGGAAGCATGAATCCCCATGGGAGGGGTGGCCACAGGGGAGCATAGACTTGAAGGGGTCAGAAAGCAACCTGGAGCTGAGAATTGCATCAGGCAGCTGAGAGACAGGACTGAAGCCACATGAGGTTGCCAGTGCTTTTTTATTTATTATTTTATTATTATCATTGTTTTTATATTTTATTCCTTTATTTTATGGGATTTATTAAGCGTATTGATTTTTGCTGAGGTCTGGTGTAGTAGGAGGCTGCTTGTTTGTTTCCTGGCTGCCGAG